CAGATAAACATTGCTGGTGTTTGACCAACTTGAATGAAATAGGCCAATAGTTCCAATTCCCAAGTCTTGTCACTCAAGCATCGAGTCTTTGCCTGATGCCGTGGCTGCAGCCATGTCTAGCTGTCTCATTCCTGTCCAGATTGGACTGCAAAACTCTCTAAAGATGTCAGTGATGGTAAACAGTTGTTGCTCAATTGGATCAGCAAGACACCAGCCTTCTTGTAAAGGGACCACTGCAATGTTACGTTGGAAAACCAAGCAATTTCTGTCTATGTTTCGAATGTTTGATCATGCGTTCATGAGTTTCCATCCTATCAAATGATATGCACTTCTGAAATTGCAGATGGCCAAGATTAATCAGCAATGAAGTGGTGTATGGACGACAGGAGTCATTTAGGAAATAGTTGCCCTGGGACATTCCTTCCAAATTGGTAGAAAACTGCTTGGCTTTAATGAGAAGCTGGTGTATACTGGCTGTTGCCTCAGGGGTGATGTTGCCTGAGGGGTAATGTCAAATTTAGAGGAAGATGGTGGTGTTTCAAGAGATCTGGTACATTCAGAGTATGATCTTAGTGGTGGAACTTGTTTAACTGCCTCACTTTAGTCAGGATAGATGGTGGTGTTTCAAGAGATCTGGGACATTCAGAGTAAGATCTTAGTGGTGGAACTTGTCTAACTGCCACACTTTAGTCAGGATAGATGGTGGTGTTTCAAGAGATCTGGGACATTCAGTGTAAGATCTTAGTGGTGGAACTTGTTTAACTGCCACACTTTAGTCAGGATAGATGGTGGTGTTTCAAGAGATCTGGGACATTCAGAGTAAGATCTTAGTAGTGGAACTTGTCTAACTGCCACACTTTAGTCAGGATAGATGGTGGTGTTTCATGAGATCTGAGATCTGGGACATTCAGTGTAAGATCTTAGTGGTGGAACTTGTTTAACTGCCACACTTTAGTGAGGATAGAGATGGTGGTGTTTCAAGAGATCTGGGACATTCAGAGTAAGATCTTAGTAGTGGAACTTGTCTAACTGCCACACTTTAGTCAGGATAGATGGTGGTGTTTCAAGAGATCTGGGACATTCAGTGTAAGATCTTAGTGGTGGAACTTGTTTAACTCTTTCAACACCTTTCAACCAGAGGCATTTACTGCCAGGACACCGAGTTCCCAGAGACTCTGAGGTCATAGATGAAGCCTATGTTTATGAAGGAAATTATAAGCTTGTAAAACGTTATTGCTACTACATCCCATACACCATTTAAAAGATCTAATCCTACTGTTGATAAATATGAAGTTTATTTTTATAATATTATTCAAATAATACAACTACAACTTAAATAAAATTATTTTTGAATGAAAATCAAGCTTACATTTATAACGTCCAGATAAACCACGAAAGAAGCAAAAACTATGGCAATTTTTTTCCATTTGTGACATGTAATAACATGCCCGTGCCTTTTTCTTTTATATTTTCATTTTTACGTCATCAGAAAATTATTATAAAAAGATTTCTTAAATAATATGTATGGTCGCCTATTTCCCGATATCTGTGGCTTTCCGCCGGTAACATGACACAACAACGGAAAATACCTCCGTTTTCGAAGCTTCGTATGAATAACATGGGAGGCGAATCGTTTGATGTCAGGTATCGTTAAAGCTCTGAACATCAACAACATCACTGAACCCTTGCCAAGAGTATTTTCACAGTTGTAAGAAGCGATTTTATTGGATAAAAATTGGTTTCTAATGACGCTTTTCGCTACAGTCTGCTATAAGGGTCGATTGGTCAAAATCAGACCGCATGACCTAAGGCAGCCAATCATATTGCGTAATGGATATGGATGCCCTCGTGAAATCCAGAAAACATTTAGATTTAGAATATGTATGGTCAGCCTATTTCCGATATCTGTGGCTTTCGCTGACACAACAACGGAAAAATACCTCCGTTTTGAAGCTTCATATGAATAACATGGGAGGCTTAATCGCTTGATGTCAGGTATCGTTCAAAGCTCTGAACATCAACAACATCACTGAACCCTTGCCGAGTATTTTCACAGTTGTAAGAAGCGATTTTATTGGATAAAATTGGTTTCTAATGACGCTTTTACCAGCTACAGTCTGCTATAAGGGTCGTGATTGGTCAAAATCAGACCGTGGACTAAGGCAGCCAATCATATTAAACGGCAATGGATACCGGCCCTCGTGAAACGAAAACATTTAGATTTAGAAGAAAGTTTTGGGTAAAATAATGCTATTTTGAACATATTAAGCAAGAAATCGCTACCTATAATGTGAAATTATGGAACTTATTGGACGTGATCGCGGCTACGTTATGACCTGTGACAAAAATGCTTCATGTATATATTTTCGCATTAAACACCGTGTCCGAGCGTGAAGATTGAGGCGGCGAGAGCCGAGATGTCACTTGTCAGTTACTTGACTTACATTACATGATCACACATAAAGATGGAAATAGTAATTTTAAATGTACGTTTGACAACTTTTATGAATGTTGTTGTTGATTTTAATCATTAGTTTATTCAATTTATTTAATGAATTCCTCGAAACATCGTTACTTTGCTCTTTGACAATGTTATTGTGGACCCGCTGCCGAAGCATGTGTCCGAGAATCGTTGTTTTCAATAACATTGCGAAAAATAGTTTATTATTTTAATTCTGCTGATAATATATGATAAATTGAAATTTAATAAGTGTTTTCAGACATTGTGAAATGTGATAGATTTAATATATGAATCATAAGTCAGGTAGGTTCCTAAAATTATGTCTCATTTTGACGTGACTACTGCCTGGCCGATTAATCGGCCTCCGGTGTCTGGGGACTCATAACGTTGTGGCCGATTATTCGGCCTGCGGTGTTGAATGGGTTAACTCCCACACTTTAGTCAAGATAGACTGTGGTGTTTCAAGAGATCTGGGACATTCAGTGTTAGATCTTAGTAGTGGAACTTGTCTAACTGCCACACTTTATACAGGATAGACTGTGGTGTTTCAAGAGATCTGGGACATTCAGAGTAAGATCTTAGTGCTTTATATAATAAGTGTGTCACATAAATACCCGTGACATCAATTTAACTTTATTTGCAAAACACCTTGGTACAGTGAAACATTTCTATTGGCTACCTTTAGTGAGTGAGTTTAGTTTTAGCAATTTTTCAGCAATCGGGATACCAGAAATGAGCTTCACATATTGTACCCACATGGGGAATCAAACCCAGACCTTTGGTGTGACGAGCGAACACTTTAACCACCAGGCTACCCAACCGCCTCCAGCTGCCTTTAAACGCTATTGACTGACATGCCTTGCTATTGTGTAAGAAAACAAGTATGAAACACATGATACTTACATGTGTTACAAATTTGATTAAATTCATGTAAATTTATCCCATTCTGTGACCCTTAATGTTTGTGTTTTCTATCTCAAAATGAAACATTATTTCAAAGAATGTTATGGCAAATGAAATATTTTAGAAATATTAAGAAAAACCCATATATTCAAATATTGTTTTTGAAAGGGCAATGAATTCCTGTAAAACAACAACTGTATGTCTTAAGAGGGCCTTTGATGCTTGCCATTTCAAAGGTTTGCTTTCATATCAAGCTGATGCCAATATCCCGTATCGATGTAGAAACTTCCTTCCTGAGCAAATCACAGGTCACATTGTCTTTTCGTAGAAAAACGTCCATTGCTTTGAAATGACCAAATTGGGATTTTACCACATCCTATTGTGGAGGATTATGTTTCTGTTTGACATGGTAACAATGGTCGCTAGGCGATGCATGCCTGAATGCCTCATTGGTTAATTGATTATCATTCCTACAAAAAGTCCTTCACTTCCTGATATTCATTTCCTAATGAGAGAATTGGAATTCACAAACCTGTTTGAGTAGATCCTCGATTATTGTGTATCAGGTGTTGATATTCTGGACGTATTCACTGCCAGGGCTTCATTTTGGGGACTTGACACATAAGTCAGTCCTTTTGCGAAAAATAATTCTTCTGTAACAAATGTTATATTTGGGATTATACTTCCTCCGTAAAGTACAGATTCTAGTACTATTTTTATGTTGAGTCCCATTAGGATTCAAACACACACACAGTGATCTAACCCCGCTACCATGGGTTCGAATCCAAAATGGGTCTGAACGTAGAAATAGTATTAGAATCTGTACTTTTTGGGGAAGTGTAATCCTAAATATAACAAAACTTACATTTGACCAATTTCTGAATGGCACTTTATGATCTTTTCTCTTATAGCCTAACTAACTGAGTTAGGCATCTGCATGATGTTGGATGGATCTCTAAAACTGGCATTGGTGAGGACTAGTACAGGCAGGCTCACTCACTCACTCACTCACTCACTCACTCACTCACTCACTCACTCACTCACTCACTCACTCACTCACTCACTCACTCAACTCACTCACTCACAGAACTACAATTTTCATCCTGGAGTTGCTCTTTTAACTTTTCACATCATTTTTCACCATATCTTTATACCACAGGTGAACAATTGAAATAATGCTTAATCATTTTCCACCATACGTCATTTTTCTCCACATCTTTTATACAACAGGTGAACAATTCAAATAATGTTCCACCATGCAAATCACATCCATTAACAGAGATACACAACATTCCCCTTACATAATACACATCCTGCTCTCATAAAAACCAGAATATAATCGACAATAAATTCCGATGTCAAGTCTTTGCCCCAAATCAATGCTTTACCAATGACAGAGGTTTCTAAATACAGATTTGAGACAGCCATTAACCAGTAATCGTCATGATAAACTCCTGCCTAATGTTATCAAGCAGCTCTTTCAATAGGACAATGGGGTTTAATCAATATGTTATTGAGGGCCATTAGGCTTTTATTTCTGAGTAAGACTGCTGGCCCTTCGTAACTGCTAATTATGACTTACGATGTGTTTGGGCACCCAGTAACCATTTTACTGTATGTTTGATTTGTTCTGCAGATAGCGGTTGGCAGCGACGGGACCATGGACAGAGTTTCTTGCGATTGAACACATCCCTAACCTTGTGTCGCTTGTGATGATTGGCAGCTACGGACTCATCAAATACATCCATTGATGATGCAGAGTGGATACAGCTCTGGATATTGGACGAAGTATTAACGGAGGACGACCTACGAAGTTTGGATATCCAGTGGCAATATCATGTTCTCTAATTTGGGTTCATGAACAGCTATGTGTGAGACCTCCTGGGAAAAGTGATTTAGAATTTGATTGTGACATTACCGATGTGTTTGGAAAGTTAGCGGATTTTGATTCTTCATGACTGAGAATAATTTGTGTCATGTGAGCTGACGCTCATGCATGGATCAGTGGAATATCACTTTGCTTGTAAGACGAGGAATCGTGTCAAAAGTTGAGAAGAAGTCTGATGATTGGATGATTCTATTTGAAGGATTCATTCAGGAAATGCTCCTTTTAATGAAGTAGATTTTCTTGTCGTTGGAAATTGATTTGTGCGATTAGTGCAAATTACAGAGGATGGTTTGGAGGAATGGATTAACAGAGAGTCGTCAGCGGAAACATAGAGATGTGGTGAAACAATCAGCTGATTGACACGTTTAGGTCATGATGGAGACTGTTGCCAAGTAGTAATGACATTGAGTGACACCTGTCAATCAGTTTGTTAAAACAGCATGATTCTGATCTCGGTTTAATTCAGTATTTCAGTGGGATATTTGTTGGATTCTGTGAAGCCCATTTCTGGTGTTCCGCACCGTGATATTGCTGGAATATTGCTAAAAGCGGCTTAAAACCATACTCACTCACTCGTTGGATTTAGGGAGGTTCTATGCAAGTATATTTTCATTGGAAAAGCAACTTAACGGATGAATGAATGATGAATTTCACTACGCCAGTTCCGGAGAATATATCCGCTAACAGCACCGGTCCTTCTGAAGGAAAGGAATGGCCACTTGTATTCCAAGTGATCGTCTCCTCAATTCTCATCGTATCTGCTTTGTTGTCAGTCGTGGGAAATGCCATGGTGATACTGGTAGTAGTCCGGCACCGTGGGATGCGAACTCGGACCAACCTGTTTTTGGTGAACCTGGCCGTGGCAGACTTCCTTGTGGGGTGTCTCGCAATGCCAGCAGCCATTACAACAATCATAGCCCAAACATGGAAGTTCGGAGAAGAATTTTGTGTGATACACGGGTTCATTAATCCGTTTTGTCTCGTAGCATCCATTCATACTCTAATGTACATCAGTATTCACAAGTGCTACTCGATAACGCGTCCATTCAGCAGTTCTTTTTCGTTACGGTGTGTACTTCTAATGATGGCCTGTACGTGGATCTGGGCGGGATTCAGCGGCACAATCACAGTGGTCGGACTGAACAGCGTGACGTACAAGAAAGGCACGTCCCAATGCGGACCTAAATATCCTCACGATGAACCAACCTACGCCCACCATGCTATTTTCTTGATAACTAATTTTGTTGTCCCACTGTTAATTCTTGTGTACTGTTACTTAAAAATGTTCAAGGTGATACGGGCTCACACAAAACGACTTCAGGAAAATACTACTCTTGAACAGGACGTAATACTTGCTCAACAGAAGAAGGTGGCTGTCACTTTGTTCATTGTGTTGGCGTGTTACATAACTTGTTGGATACCATATAATATCTACACCATATATGTGACCAGTCTGAAGGACAAGAACAACTTCTCCATCTATATCAACCCTCTGGTAAGTACACCCATAGAGACCTGTGTCCCTTTTCACGAAGCACTACGGTGACGGTAAGTCACTAATAAGGCTGTACCGATGCATCGAACTATCGATGGATTGCAATTGTTGAGTCTCATATAGCAATTATTGACAGCAGAAACGAAAAACTATTGTTGCATCGATAGTATGTGTGGCGATCAATAGTTTAGTAATTGATTTCCTTTGATAAATGCGCAGCGCAAAATACAGGAAGTACCAGATTCGTTCACTTTGATTTAAAGTTATCTGCCCATGTTACCTCTTAAGTTGATCTGGGTTATTAGAAGAAACTTCAGCTTGTTTCATTTCATATAAACCATACATTTATTTGGGAAATGACTTCAAATGACATTATTCAAGGAGAGAAAAACTATTGCAATAGTTGGTCGCAATAGACTATCGCTATCGCAGTAGTATGTTGCAATAGACTATCGCTATCACAATAGTTGTAAGGCGACTGGCAGTAGTCTTTGATGTTTGGTGTGGTTTTAGTAATAGATTGTTTAAGGGTTAACGAAAGGATTATCGACTGACTAGTCGAATTGCAGTGAACACATTTTAAGTGTTCAATGTTGTGGGTGAAAAGTGAATTTGTCACGCTGGAGTTTAAATATGTATCATCATAAGCAGAGACCATAATATAAAAAATGAAAATACAATCCAGCCTATATATAATATTAAGCATGTATGCTAACGTACAATGTCTACTTTAATCTTATACTTCTATATTCAAAAGATCCTTAAACTTCTTTGTCAATGTTTCACATGGATTATTTATGTAGTATTGTGGGAGAAGGCCGCTTCTCAGATCACAGTAAAATGAACATTCAATAAAGTAACCTGGTACTCTGATTCAATGGTAGTACAATACACAGAGGGTAGAATCACTCATGTTTGTTTTATATTTACTTTTTCGCCGCTTATTCCAACATTAAAGGATGGTCTGAAGAGAACTAAACTTTACTCAAAGCAAAAACGAATCAAGGCGTTGCTGTCAATCGCTGTGTTGCCGCCCTGGGGGTCGAGTGATGGTGTCACCATGCACTACCACCACCGACCCCGCAGTTCGTGCTAAATCATTTAGTAAATGAGTTATGTTTTGTGAGAGCTAAACAAAGCTGTAGGAAGCTTGGAACGATATCTTAAATTTGTCCAGACGCTTCGCTGAAGTTAAAGAATCAAACTACTTACTACTTGTAGTACAATATATATATGATTGATGACCAAACATATTTTCCATGACACAACTTTGAGAGCATAAAGATTTCTTCTTCTCGAAGCAGGTCGTGGTGGGTGGGAAGTGACAATAATATTGTAAGTAGTGTTATATTGACAATTACCACCTCGCCCCTCGAAAGAAATTGTTATGATATAAAAGATATGTCGCAAATCCTATTGGACATCAATCAAATACATATTGTATTACCGGTAGAATAGTTTCCTTGATTTTAACTCGGTGAAAAGCAAACCTAAATAGCATTTATTCTCAGACTACATGGATGTTATGTAGCGACAGTCGCTTCGCCATTTTAATAATCGTAACACGACCCGGCTAAAGTCTGTTAAAGAAATGAGATTATGGTTTGTTTCACCTTAAGTAAAAACGAACTTCTTGCTACTCGGAGTTAAATATGTATTGGAATCATGGCCAACAGGATTTGGCATGACACAACTTATAACTTACGATTTCTTCCCTCGGCTGCAGGTGGGGGTCGGCGACATACCGCGCTTAATAAATATCTTGCTACATTCATACATGGTTAATGTCCACTCACCAGTATGTTAGATACTAATCAACGTGCGCCTTTCATTTGGTCTTATAATCCTAATTAGTTTATTATCAGGCTTTATCTGCCTTTTACTTATAATTTGAATATCTAGACATTGTAAATCATAATCAATCGTGACGACGCAGCCCTAGTGTATGTTGTCTGTCTCATTACTTCAATGAATCTAAATCATGGATTCTGTGGAATTTTTCGGCTAAAATGAATAAAACAAAATGCAATTATTAAAACTAAAACAGGTAGCGTTATAATGATGTCAGGCTATTACTTTGTTCGAGGAATGTATCCATCAATATCCACAAAAACGAGCCGTATGCCATTCACCTGCAAGCTGTTCCAAAATGGATGTGTCTTTAGCAGTCTAATACATGTTCACGCGAAAAGTGATATATCGTTCCAGGTATTTCCCACATTGGTATATAGTCGCATTGGTCACCCAAGATAGCATGGGAACTAATTGCATAATCTCCAACCATTCTTACAAAAAAAGTAATTTAGTTAGCCAATAATGAGAATCAATGTCTTGGCGGTTAACTCCTTGAGAAAGAAGGAGTTTGTTTTACGCCAGACACAGACACGCACAGAGTGTATTTAGTATTGATTTAGTAAATGTACATACATAAAGCTTTACTGCTTTGACAAACTGGGCTGTGAAGGATAAAGTATGGGTTAATCCTTTTGATCGATGTTTATACTGTTGAGCATTTACTCCAGACACAAGAAATGCAAAATGGGAACCCAACTGTCGAGGTTATCTATGGTAAGTTACCACCTAATTATACCTGTTATAGAGATTCATTAACTGACCATCAAGTGAATGATGACAAATGACATGTGTAGGTTTATACCAATCTAACACGGGTTACAACAAGGGAGTATTAATTATTGCACTGCATGCAATTTGGTAATTGCATGAAATCCTATGGGCCTACACTATTTTTGAGAATACATGAAAGAACTTCATTGTTGCAAAAGTAATACATATAAGCATTTGTTGTGTGCTAAAGTTGTATTTACCTATTTACCTAAGTAAAATTTTCAGAGTCTTCCTAGCAATAGCAAAGATTTTAAGGGATGTGTTATAAAGGAATAACGAAATAAACAGTTGGCTGTTCAATTGCATGAAGCCATGCAAAAAGCATGACATATTCAAGAACAATGTTTCCAATTTTGAAATATAGAGATTTCCAAAATGTACACTTTTGGAAATGTCCCACAAGGGGAGATAACTGGTGGGTGATGGTAAATTATTGCCTTTGCACGCCCCTAGGACCTAATCCCTTGTTGATTGATGAAATTTGAGTCAAGGCAGTTAAGAGTCACTAATTAACAAGGCCTTGCTGCCTTGGCCTTATGCCTTAAAAGAAGTCTCTGGAAGTAAGTTAAATCTTTGATGGGCATTGAAGTGGGAATGCATTACTGTGACCCTGATTTTCTACTAATAATGAAGGAGCAAGCATATGCTCTCAAACTTTCGTGTTATTCCTTACAATAACAAAGAAGTAGATAATCCATGGAAATCTTGTTTTTCTTATTAAAAAGTAGAGTTTATTAAAATCTGCTGAGCTGTTAGGTTTGTTAATCGTATGTCATCGATGTGATTGCTCGCTCTAACACACCTGAGAGATCTGATCAACGGTGTGGTATGCTTGCAAGGCTGGGGTGAAAATTGTATTGTATTACATTGGGTTGGTTTGCAACTAATATTGTTAACATTGCCATTCCATGGCCAATATCGCATCGTCACTGAAATGGTGAGCATCTCGGGTAGTTTGTTCCACATTTTTGATAATTTATAGAGGTGAGTTCTTATCAAATTAGATATTTCTTTATCAGTCCTAACAGAATTCGCCACAAATTCACGGATGTTTTAATAATGACCAGTGATGTGTGTGCACTGCATAACTATCCTATAACTTGATAGGTAGTATTAATTAAAATCAGGGCCGATTGTAACCATGGCTGACTATATTGGGATGGACACTCCAAGAACAAAAATAATTCCCACTCTTCAAAAGGAACTGGAACAGTAACATTTTCATGTTTTCATGGAGGCTTCTAAAACATTGAAATGGCATAAATGCTGCGCGAGTGAAATGGATCCAGAGAACATTAGAATGGCATCACGGACGCCGCGTGAATGACACGCGTGTAATGGTCAAAAATATTATATAATCACTATGTTATTAACTCATGACCAGACATCGCCAAACCTGGTAAATCATAGATTTATATCTAATATGTATTGACATTCCTGTGATTTCTTAGTACCCGAAATAGAAAACAATTTTACTTTGAATGAGATAAGCCAATCTGAGATTAATCTGTTAGGTAGCAGTTTACTTCTAAGCAGAACTTAAATCAACTTCAAAAGATTTGGTCATTCATAGAAGTGAAGCAGATTTCAATTTATACTCGCAGTAAAACAGTATGCCATACGAATACGACAGAACTTATACCACTTATGGGATAAATAACTTTCCTGTTTATTGCATAGAGATGTAGCATGTGTAAGAGCGTTCGAGTATAGACAAGCAGGGTGAATGTTGATTGAGTTCCATGCCTTGGACAAAGGATTGGATTTAGACTTCGTTGATCTTACTCCCTCATGCCTACAACTTGATGTGCTACTTGCTGAATCACCTGGTGTTAATTTGCTGCTAGTCACTATGCATATACTTCTTGTTCATTACCGTAACCGTTATCTTGATAACGGCGTGAGAATATACATGGAAATCCCTCTATCGACCTTGATTCAGGAAACTAGATGAGTTAGCGAGAAGTGTTTGATGTCCGTCCGTTAGCAAATTAACATTGGATTATAGAGACAATGATAGGCCTCCTACGTAAGTTGATAGAAGGAGGATATTCCGGATTATCTCTTTAGAATGAGGAAGCACCTAATGAGAAAACGAGCCAAATATATGTATAAAGTAGTGTTTCATTTCAGTCTCTGTGCATATAAACATTTGAAATATGCAAACACATAAAACATAGAATGTAGTTTCACTTGCGTAGTAATGGAGACTATATGGACAGGTAGGATTTTATTTAATCATGTTACAACATGCTTACATATTACAAGTCTTTTATAAATAGTTATATTACATCATATTATGAAATGTTTCAAACGGAAATATTAAGCATAATTATAAATATACATACATTTCTATTAGTGCCATTGCAAATATA